CACCGGGGCCTGGCCCCGTCCTTGGCTTGGAGCTGGCTCAGCCTCTCCCTTCTAGCCCCATGGGGGGCCCTGTGTAGCCCTGGGGTGCATTGGTGAGCAGAGAATTGCCCCAGGGAGCTGCCACCCTTGGCCCCTGTGCCTGCTTAGCCCTGAGACTCAGCCTCCCCTCCCTGCGCCCAGCGCCCACGCCCCCATCTCCTGCTTCCCGCACCTTCATGTGCCTGCCATGCAGGCCCTGGCGTGTCCTGTGGGCCAGGCCGGCCCCAGCCCTCGGGGGAGACTTGTTTCCGGCTCTGGCTCAGCCTTCGCTCCAAGCTCCAGGAAGCTGTGGGCTGCTTTGCATAGGCATTGGCTGGCCCCACCACCGCTCACCCCACCCAGACCCCACCAGGACCCCAGGGAGGAATGACTCAGCCAGGCCATTGGCAGTGGGTGGCTCTGGCAGGTGTGGTGTCCTGGCATGGCCTGAGGCACTCCTGGGTCGCCTTGCTGGCTGGGGAGTCCCCTGACGCCCTGATCGCCTGGGGAGTCCCCATCCTTCCCCTTCTTTGCCCCCTCCTCCCCCACCCCACCCCTCTGAGGGCTGACACAACCCCAGCACTGGGGAGAGAGGGGGGTCTTGGCACCAACCTACCCCACTCCCTGAGGAGGGCTGGCTGGAGACCTGGGGAGCAGCTGAAGCAAGGGCAGAGGCCAGGGCCCAGGTGAAGAGGACGGAGGCCCGTGGGAGCCTGGCCAAGGGCCCGGCTTCTTGGAGGGGCTTAAGAGCCCACCTGCCTGCTGGCCTCACCCGCCCCGGGGTGTTGGAGGAGCTGTGAAAAACCCTGTGAAGCAGCAGCTCCCACCTGTCCGCATGGGGTGGGCGTGGAGTGACCTCACAGGGGCACGCCTGCCCACCCTCGCCACCTCACAGCCTCTGTTGGGCCGCCCAGCTGCGTGGCCACCGGCCACAGCACCCTCACCCACCAAGGTCACCACCTCCCAGACCAGCAGACCTGTGTCCTGGAGGGGCCAACACAGAGCCCAGCCTGCCCATGAGGTAGATGGCTACCCCAGCCACCAGGGCACTCGAGGTGACTAGTGGGCAGAACATCCTCACGCTGGGACCGGGGCCTGTCAGTCAGCGCTTGGTGAACCTGTGGCCCTGACACTGTCTCCCTTCGTAGACCCTCCAGCTGCTAACCTGCCTGAAGCTTTGGGTCCTAGTCCAAGGTGCCGGCAGCGGGCATGGGCAGCTGCCAACTGGCCCTTGTCTCCTGGCATCCAGACCCGCCCGTGCCCACAGCCCATCTTGGTCCAGGCCCAGTGGGGCCTGAGCCTCAGCTCCAGGGGTCTGAGCGTAGAGACACCAGGGCAGAAGGGGCTGGGTCTCTCTGGACGCGGCCTGTCTGGAGGAGGGCCAGGGGCGGTTCAGGCAGGAGGAGAGCTGGAGAAAGTGGCACCCTTTCAGGCACAGTGGGAGGGCCCATGAGAGCAGGCAGGACGGGGGCCCTGCAGTGCCCACCCGTGCCCATGTGCGCCCCCTCTGTGGGTCTGCAGGCGCCCTCCATACAGCCCAGGCTGAGAGATAGCCCAGGGGCACTGGCTGGGCACTGCTGGCTCCTGCTCCTGAGGGGGGATCCTAGGCTGGCTTTGGGGGAGGCCCGTGGAGGTGATGGGACTGTGGACTCCAGGGCACTTGAACTTGCTCCGATTTCCCGCAGCGAACCCTCTGCCTGCCTCCCACAGGCAGAGGACCAGCAGGACCGGGCGGCGGCTCTGCGCCCACTTATTCCACTTGGCTGGGACCATTCATGCCTCGGGGGTGGCGAGCAGGCAGAGGGCATGAGGGCAGATGAGCAGGGGAAGGCGGACCTCCCCACACCCACTGCCGTCACCCCAGAGACACTAGGCCCCCAGGACCCCACCCCTTGCCTTGAGTGGAGGGCTCTGGTTTTCTGAGTGGGGGAACAGAGTGGGGTCTGTGTGGGACTAGGCAGGCTTGGGAGCTGGCTGGGACTGGACTTCCAGCGGATGAGGTGGCCTTGGGGGGCGGGGTCTACAGGTGTCCTCGCTGGAGCTATGGGCGTGGCCTGTGTGGTGGGCGTGGTTCCACGCACTGATGGACAGGTGTGGGAGCCGGTGGGTAGCCTCGGAGGGCGTGGTCTGAGCTGGTGGGCGTGGTCTGGGCTGGTGGGCGTGGTCTGGGCTGTGCACGCGGTCTCAGAACCTCTCTCTCTCCCCAAGGGCTGCCAGGGGACCGCTCCACGCCGCCCTGTCTAGTGTGCTGCGGCTCGCTGCCGCCCGCCCGGCCCTGCAAGCGCTGCCGCTCCTTCTGCGCCGCCGTCCTGCAGGACGCCTCCTTCGTGCCCCTCGGCGGGCCGGGCCGCTCACGGGCCCCGTGACGCCGCGGACCAGGACCGAACCCACGCGCCCAAGCCTCCAAAGCGCGGCTTCTTTCTTTGGAACCTACACACCGATGAGGGCCCTTGTATACAGAGCTATTTTAGCGAAATTGTGCAATCCTAACCCTGGTGTTTCTTATGGAGTGCCCACCTCATCCCATGCCCACATCCATACACCGTGTACCCCAAACCCAACTTGTGCCCCACCCCACAGCCCGCACCCCTCACCCTGCCCCTTCCCTTGGCCCAGCGCAGGCAGAGGAGAATGAGGCGCCCCTCCCCCGGACCCCCTCCTGGCTAGAAGCCCCTCTGTCTCCCAACCAGAGCTCGCAGACAAGGCAGCCACTCATTCATTTATTCAGCGAAAGTCTTGCTCTGCTGGTCCGGGCTCCTCGCACCAAGTGTCTCCTTCCAGCGCGGCCCTGGCGGAGGGGGTGCAGGGGTGCCCGCCCTGGGCAGACCCTCACATCCCACCATAGCTGGACTTCTGGGCTCTCTGGCTGTCAGTGGGCCTCGTGGGCTATGGAACCCCAGGGTGAGGGGAGCCCCTGTGGACTCTGGGCTCAGGCTGGGTGTTCCAGTCCCCCAAGCCCACACAGGACTGGAGGGGGCTGCGAGGACTTGCCAGGGCCAGCTGTTTGTGGACAGTGGGAGTGTCTGTAGCCCCCAGCCCTCAGAGACAAGAGCCCTGGGAGTGGCATCCCCACCATGCTTCTCCCCCCACGAGCTTGCCCTGCAGTGAAGTCGTGTGGTTAGATCTGCTGCCCACTTCTGATCACCTGCAGCCCTTTGGCACTCGGATGGCACATTCAGGGTGCCAGGTGTGTCACCTGGTGGGGTGGGCCCATCCTGGGGCATGATGGGCCCGTTGGGGTGTCTCTCGGGCTATGTGGGCCTCCTTGCTCTAAGGAAAGACTGTGCCCATGGAACCTCCTGGTATAGCAGTGACGCACCACCCAGCATGGAGGCTGGCACGGGTGTGTGTGTGTGTGGGGGGGTGCCGCTCTCTCTTCCTCTCACTGTGGCCACAGGTGAACTGCTGGGGGTGGGGGCTCCATCCCCATTTGTTTGCCTCCCCAACAGTGCAGGATAGGGTGCCCAAGCCCAGAGGCAACCACAGATCAGGCGGGGGCAGGGCTGAGATGCTGGCCCAGGAGGGCAGGAGGCTGGGCAGAGAGCTCTGCACCTAAGCCAGGTGAGAGGAAGGTGAGCGCTACGGCCTTGGGTGCTGTCTGCTGGTAGCCCCACCCTCTGAGGCTAACGGCACTCAGTGTCCTCAGCTCACTCCTGCCTGGGGCCTGAGTCTACTTCATGGAACACTTGACCAGTGCCACTTGGTTTGCACTGACAGCCACCTCAGGGACCTGCTTGCCTGGCCCTCCGGGCCTGGGGATGGTGCCACTCTGGGTCAGCTCCCCTCCACACTTCGGGATGCCCTGTTGGGGTTCCAGGCAGATCTCCAGCCACCCTGGGCCCAGCACTCCTGGGAGCTCCCAGCCATACACCCCTTCACATGCCCCCCACTCATGGGATGGTGCCCTCCTGGGGCCAGAGGTGCTCACACCTGTCTGGCAGGTGCAGGCAGAGGGCTGGACATAGACTCTGGGCCTGCCTGGGGAGAGAGGGGACCGAGGGGTCCAGAGAGGCACCTTGCATGTGGCCAGCGGGGCTGGAGGCAGACGGATGCCATGAGCCTCTGCCTAGAAACTTCCCCCATCGTAGGAAGATTCACATGAGAAAGGGAGTGTGCAGTGATTCCCCAAGCAGAAACCAGGACCCAGAATTACAGGCCCTGGGACACTGCCCTTGGATAAGAGAGTGACGTGAGGGCTCAGCAAGGAGGGTCAGCCTTTCACACCTGGAAAGGTGATGGGGCCTTGGGGTGGAGTCCCAGGTCCCATTCCAGGAGAGAGCTATCCCGTGGGGGTCAGGGCTGGAGATGGCAGCTCTGGGGTGCAGGCACCCCGGACTGCTCCTGCTGGTACAGCCAAGCTGGACTACCAGGGTCATTGGCCACCATCCATCCACTGCCATCAGGAAGGATGCCTGAGAAATAGGGGTGTACTCAGGAACCATGGGGTGTATGGGACCCCTCCCAGATTCCACAGGCCCATAGCCAGCCTTGCTCCAGCCACTAACCCCATGGGGAACCCATTTACCTGGGGCTCCAAAGACTCAAGGTTCCAGGAGTCTTTGGCAACTTAGAAAGGCCCCGGGCATCTGGCCAGAGTCCGGGGCCCCACAGCGAGCTGGGGCAGGCGGGACGTTGTGGGGCTGTGACTT